GGTTCCAACCCCGCGGTTCCGGGGAGCCGCCCGCTGAGGACGCAGAGCGTGGTCCACGGACCTCAGCCCTAAGGTCAGGCCTGTGCCATTAACCAGTTCACTCACCCTCACCGTCCCCGCCGCGGACGCGAAGCCCTCCCGCGTGAGCCTCGCCAGCCCCCGTCCCCAAAAGGCTTTCCCAGCCCGCCAGCCCCGCCCCCGGCCTCCCGCGCACGCGCGCTCCCTTCTGCCCGCCCCTGGAAGTCGCCGGCTTGGCCCGCGGGCCAGCCACTTGCGCAGGCGCACTCCCTTCCGCCCGCCGCCGGGCGCCGCAGGCCCCGCCCTCGGCCCGCAACTGTGAGTCCACGTGTAACGCGCGGCAGACGCGGTTCCACCCGCCTTCCCGCAGGCCACGCCCTGCTCCCGGCGGAATTGGGCCACCGCGAGCCCCGGGGCCCGGCAGCTTGAGAGGTCGCCCCGGACGCCCCCAGGAGCGTGTGTCGGCTTGGGACGTAGGCTGGAGGCTGGCCTGGGCTCCGCGGCGGCTCCTGGTCCCGCCCTTCTTCACTTTGTGGGTCCGCGGGTTCCTCGACTTCGGGATGGGGAGACCCTACGATTCCTGACGCGACCGCTAGGGGGCGCTGGTGCAGGCCGCTCGGCTCCCAGCTTCTGCTCGACCCATTCCCCAAGCCGCGTCCGCCTCGGTCGGTACCCACTCGCTGGCCAGTCCCAGTTCAAATACTGCCTTGCAGTGCAGTTCGTAAAATCACAGAGCACTTTCAGAACCGAGCAGATAATCCCTGTGTTCGCACACCTTTGATCCTATACGAGATTGTCATTCAGCCGATATCTATGGACCAGCTGAACGAATGGAGAGCTGTCCGTTTTCAAATCCCTCCTCCTGTTTGTGGCCATAAAGACACGTTTTTTTATATAAGCCTGGCTTCAAAAAAGGAGGGACAAAAAGTAATCAGATGATCCCAGACCCTCTTTTCAGCTTTTAGAACCCTGAAAGTGCATCAGGGCCACTGTCACTATCTCATTCTCTTATGTTCATCTGAGATTGAAATCGCTCCAAATATCCCATAAAAAAACCCCAGGATCCTTAAAAAGGCCCTGTTGACTCAATACCCCTTCTGCTTTTCTTGGTTTGGGTTAGTTTGACCTAGTTCCAGGTGCACCCATCTGTCCACCTGCCGATTCATCCATTCCTCAACGTGTCCCTTTAGTAATCGTTCTTGAGTTCCTCCTGTGTACTAGGTGCTGTCCCGAAAGCTGATAGAAACACAAAGATATGGAATCTTCCTTTAAGAAACTCAGTGTAAGGGGCTGGGGATTTAGCTCAGCGGCAAAGCGCCTGCCTAGCAAGCTCAAGGTCGTGAGTTCGGTTCCCGGTACCGGAGAAAAAAACCAAACCAAAAAAAAGAAACTCAGTGTATAGTAGGTGGGTGATATCCTCAGTCCCTTGAACCAAGGCTTTGCCATTTTCTACTGATATCCTGTGTCATCTCTCGAGTCAGCAAGTGTTCTCTCTTGATCAGATCACTGCCCTCAGCGTATAAGCCTGCGCTCTGGTTTCTTCCCTACCACGCTACTCAAACCGCAATCACCGTGCGAAGCTGGCAGCCTCTTCTTTGATCTGTTTTTATTTTACTTGCCTCCCGATACTGTTCATCACGGTCAGGCACTTCCGCCTTGAAACACGTTCTTGTTTCCTGGCAAGGCACACTCTTGGTCCTCCCACTTCACTGACCCTTGCTTCTTAGGCTGTTTTACTGGCTTCCCCTCCTCAGTTCAGCATAGATATATAAAAGTTCCTGGGATTCTACCCTTCTCTATCTACCCACTCTTCCTATGTGACTTCATCTACTGTCTTTAGATAGCAATTATATGCAGATGACTCCAGAATGTATCTGTGGGATGCCCTCTCCCTGTAAGTCCTAACTCCTCTACATAAATGCCTGCTTGACATTTCAACATGAATGTCTAACTGGCATCTCATATTTAACATGTAGAAATTGTAGAAAGTATCACTTGTCCATTTTACTAAAATAGTCGATTTTACTAAATGTCACTGTTACTCATTCAGTTATTTAAGTTAAAATTGTAAAAGCCCTTCTTGATTTCTCATATTTCCTTTTATTTGTGTGTGTTTGTTTGTGAGGACTGTTTTGTTTTATGAGACAGGGTCTCACTAGGTAGTTCAGGCTGTGTTTAAGCTCACTATGTAGCCCAGGCTGGTCTTGAATTCGTAGCAGTACTCCTGCCTCAGCCTCCAGAATGCTGGGATTACAGATGTGCACCACCATGCCTTGCTTCTTTACCTCTATAACTAATCACTCAGCAAATGCTTTTGATGCTACCAAAATGTATCCTGGCCAGGTGTGGTGGTGCACACCTGAAATGCCAGCACTTGGGAGGCTGAGGCAGGCAGAGTGTGGCAAGTTGGAAGGATCACGGGAGCCCTATACCTGTTAGTGGATTCATCCATTGATGAGCTCAGTAGCTGACTGTGCTGCTTGGAGGTGGTCACTGGGGCGTGACCTGGAAGATTATGTTCTTGTCTCTGGCCCCTCACTTCTCTCTCTGCATCCTGGCTGCCGTGGCTTGCGCAGCTTTCCTCCGCCATGCCCTTCAGCCACGCCATTTCTGCCGTGGAGCTGGCAGACCGTGGACTGGACCCTCTGAAGCTGAGAGCCACAATCAGCTTCTCCTCCTCCGAGTTGTAGGTGTTGGGTATTTTGCCCCAGCAAGAGAACAGTGACTCACATAGCTTCCCAGCTGACCTCTCTGCTTCCATTCTTGCCTAGATGGAGTCCATGAGTGGGAAGCCACCTTTAAGTCATTTACGGCTAGGTGTTCTGTAACTTGTAGCTGCACCTCTTCCTAATAGGAAAATAATTTGATCCTAAAAACACACTAAAATTGGTTATAGTGCCTACCTGGCAAGCACAAGGTCCTGAGTTCAATGTCCAGTACCAATAAATAAATAAATAAATAAAATTTGTTATTGGCCAACAAGAGGTCAAGGTAGGCAGTTGTGATGACTATTCCAAACCAGAACACTGGTGAGCCGTGTTAAACTGTCATGAAACTGTCAGAAGACTATTGCTTCCTGGACCTTGGATACAGACTACTTGTCAACCAGAGCTGTATTTTAGGAGAAATCTCATGAACTGTATAGAACATTAGTGGGTGTTGAAGGTTTTCTTTTTAGTAGCTTTCAGCAAAAGAATGGCAAGCCTAGATTAGAAATAACTGATTTGAAAGCACAGAGCACAGATCTCTTGGGCCAAGGATATAGCTCGGTAGTGTAGCACCTGCCTGGCAAGCACAAGGCCCTGAGTTCGATTCCTACTACCAAAAAAGAAAAAAAAAAAAAAAGAAAAAAAAGGGGTCGGGGAGGATCTCTTTATCTGCAGCCTACAATAGACACTGGCCAAACTTGAAGCCATGAAATTGGAGCCCTGGAAATGACCAGTTTACTTTTTGTACCCAAGCTGAAACCAGCATCAGTGGAGAAGAAGAAGCAACAGTGTGATCTGGAGATAAGACTGAGGCCACAGGTAGCAAGATGGGTTGTAGGTGCATCCCTTCAGCTGTCTTTCTGAAAAGCTTCAAAACAATATTTGCCTTTGTAGAGGGTTCCAAGGTGGACAAGAGCAGGAGTGAGCATAGGACTTCAATATATACCTTTTGGTATTGCTTTGATTTCTAAAAGCTATACAAATACATTGCTTTATTGAAAGAAATAAATTAATGGCCAGGTGTGGTGGCACACACCTGTAATCCCAGCACTTGGGAGGGTGAGACAGGAGGATCGTTGCAATTTTGAGACCAGCCTGGGCTACAAAGTGAGCTCAAGGACAGCCTGAACTGCATAGCCAGACCCTGTCTCAAAGAAAGAGAAAAAGTAAGAAAGAGAGAGAAAGAAAGAAAGAAAGAAAGAAAGAAAGAAAGAAAGAAAGAAAAGAAAGAATGAAAGGAAAGAAAGAAAGAAAGAAAGAAAGAAAGAAAGAAAGAAAGAAAGAAAGAAGTTGAAAGTATTTAATGAAAGCCAATTTTAAAAGCTGAGCATGATGGTACACACCTGTAATCCCAGCACTTGGGAGGCTGAGGCAGGAATATCACCATAAGTTTGAGGCCAGCCTAGGCTACATAGTGAGTTCAAGGTCAGCCTGAACTGCATAGCAAGACCCTGTCTCAAAAAGACAGTGGTTTGCTGACCAGGAAATAGCATGAAAAATACCATGTTTCTCATTTTCTCTATCTCTATATTTCTATCTCTATCTCTATCTCTATATCTCTGTCTCTCCTAAGTGGAAGCTCTTATTGCTTCTTTACATTGTACATTGAATATATTTTCCTCTAAAATTTTTATTTTTTACATTTTATCGATCTACAGTATATGCCAAGAAAGGTACATGTATAGAAAAGTGTACATCTCAGTAAATTTTCAGAAATTGAACATGTCCATATAAGTAGCACCCAAATCAAGAATCTTCTCCCTTCTGCTGCCTTACAGACATTACCCTCTCCTCCAAAGGACACTGTTATCCTGATATTTAACACCCAGAACTGTACTGGGTTTTATATTTTATATAAATAGAATCACACTACATTTTTTTTGTCTATGGCTGCTTTTGCTGAGCATAATTTTGAGATTCATCCATGTTGGTATAGTGTGAGATCATTCATTCTCATTTCTGTGTGCTAGTCTATTGTGTCAACATATATTCTATTCTTGGATGTCTGACTAGCTTCCAGTTTTAGGCTATTATAAATGATGCTACTTCGAACATTGTATAACGTGTCTTTTCTTGCACATCTATTCGCATTTCTGATAGGTATTCACCTAAGAGGAACATTGCCGGCTGGTAGGGAATGCAGACACTCAATTTCAGTTGAGTGAAGGTTTCCTAAGTAGTTGAATCAATACATATTCCCACATGCAAGAGCATATCAGAGTTCTGTTGTCCCACATTCTTTCGAACACTTAGCACTTTCCATCCTTTTCCTGTTGGCAAATAACATTCTTGAGCTTCAATCACCAGGTCATGAGAAACCACAGCTAGACCTGAAAGAGGAGTGCTAGGGCTTGAACATGGTTTACCCCTTCCAAAGCCCATGTTACAATTTAATTACCATCAGGGCCGTGTTGGGAGGTGGAAACTTTCAGAAATGATTAGGTCATTAAG